TAGAAGAGCAGTCAGTGCTCTTAATCTCTGAGCTATCTCTCTAGCCCCTCATCTTTTCCTCTTGCTAATGCCATTTCAGGTTTAACTATAACTTGATCATCTTGATGGAGAATCCCATGGGAAATTCCCAACTCTATTCTAGAAACCCATGGTCAAAATGCTCTAACTTCCCTTAGCATCTATTAAACTGTCTGCTGTGTAAACCTCCGCCTTCAACCAACCACTTATCTTAGCTTTTATTTTTCTTCTTGCTTACACAAACCTCCCCCTGAAGCTGCAGATTTAGACACCAGTATGAGGTTTTGTCTTTAAAAGCCCCCTGCGTTAGCTGCTTGGGAATGCCCTTAGGTTCCTAATGCATAAGTATAATCCCAACTGGTTGGAATAAAAACTTTCAGTTGGCTATAACTGTATCTGAGTGATCATCTCTTATGAGATCCCCATAAAACAGGCAGGTAACTGTTGTAGTTTGCATAGTTCATATCTGGGTGAGATTAATAAGTACTTTTTTCCTCCAGCAACATGTATGATACCTTCCATCACTATGAAAGACAGTCAGTAAAGGTGAAGCTTCTAGTTGATTATCAGCTCAATTTCTCCATGCTCTATGACATGAGTATGTGGTGTCTTCAGCAATAGGGTCTTACCTTTAGGTTGTGGAGGGTAACCAAATGTATTGACAATAACCCATTATTTTTGGAGGGGTCTGTGAGATCCTTTAAGCCAACAATTCAAATGATGTAATCCATTCACAGTATTAGTGGTTTTATTTGGTAGCCTATGATGGGTATTTTCTCACCCACTATATGGTGAGGTGGGACAGCCCCAGGCTGTGGCTCATTTTGCTCAGTCTTGGGCATCTCACTATTCTCTGCCTAGTGGCAGAAGTTGGAGAAACCATGATCTACAAACTTGTTCATTCCATTGTCCAGGTGCCTTTCTGCTGAAAGGCCTGACAGTCTATTATGGCTTCTCAGAGGCGACCTATATCCTGTGAAAGTCACTGACAGTTCTAGACAAGCAGCAAATATCCATGGGCATGGCCAGAAATGCTTTGCAATCTTTGCCCCAGGGCAGCAAACCCTGGATATGGCTCAGCAGGAACCCTCACATCCACAGTGACAATAACTGACCCTGACCAGCAAGGAGAGGAAGTTGAGGGCCATGACCCAACCATATAAGAGGATTGACTACATTTTTTTTTTTTTTGAATGTGTAAGACTTTGGGACTTTGGATTTGGAAAGCAGTTAAATGCTATAAGTATGACTTAATGGACCCTTCTAGTAGAAGCTTGAAAGAGAGTATTGTTGAGAGCAGGGAGTCCCTTGCATGGAGGCTCAGAGAGGCCATTGCCTGAAGCGTGAAAACGAAGCCTTGACTGTATTGGAGACCGCAAAATGTTGAAAATGCTGGGGGTTGTCTGCTGAGAGCTTCAAAAGGGGAATGGAAAGCAGTCCAAGAAAGAGACTTGTGTTGTTGTCAGCAAGCTGGAAGGAGCAGGAGATCTAAGGGCTTGGTTCTGAGACTTTGGACTTTAGAATTAAACAGTCTGGAGACTGAAATGCTAGAGACTTTTGAAGTTGAACTACATGCATTTTGTTTTCTGATATGGCTACAAGCCTATGGGGGCCAAGGAGTGAATGAAATATTACAGTTTAAGTGAGAATAGTCCCACAGGTTCATATATTTGAAGGTTTGAGTCCCTGTTGTACAGGGACTCCGTACTCACTCTGTCAGTGGTTTTCAATCTTGTGAGACTTACAATCGCAATGCTATATCCAGCAATTTGAGCCCTTGTGGCCGTTTTAATATAACTGGGCCTCATAATCTCATAGGGAGTGGCACGTAGTAGGAGGTAGGGCTTTGTTGGAGTGAGTATGGCCTTATTGGAGGGAGTGTGTCACTATGGGGGAGGACTTTGAGGTCTCTTCTCACGCTTCAACAGTGTGACAATCAATCAGTCCTGTTGCCTCTGATGCAAGATGTAAGACTCTCAGCATCAGCACCACATCTGCCTACAGGTCGCCATGCTCCCCATCCTGAAAATAATGGACTGAACCTCTGAAACTACGAGCAAGCCACCTCAGTTAAATGTTTTTATTTATAAGAGTCGCCACGGTCATGGTGTCTCTTCACAGCAATAGAAACCCTAACTAAGATAGCCCTTTAAGCAGGAATGCAATTTCAGTGGGCTGAGCTGGGCCCGGCTCTTTGAGAATGAGTACTCAGGAAAGACACCGTTTTGAGCTGTCAGGGAGAGCCATCTTTCTCCTGAACCACTGATAGGCTTTGACCTCACAGATGATATGGATTTTTAAGTGATTCCTGCCCATATATATTCAGGTTTCCAAGAAACTCAGATAGAGTTTACAACTTATGGCTGAGAACTGGGGAGGCTCTTGGCTTTGCAATCACTCATAAAGAAAATGTCATGGTCGATTAGGCTATTAGTTTTACTTTATGCCTCCACTTTTCTTTTGATTTTTCTTTTTCCTCCCCTCTGGCACTCTCATGCGTATATGTTCATTATGCAAGCACACATGTAAGCATGGAGGCCAGAACAGCCTTGGGTGTTATTTCTCAGTCACTGTTTACTTTGGCTTTAGAAGAGAGTATCTCAGTGGTCTGGAATTCATCAAGTAGGCATGGTGGTTTGAATGATAGTAGCTTCCCATAGTTTCACATGTTTGAATGTTTGGTGCCTTGGTTATCTGAACTGCTTGTGAAGGATTAAGAGCTGTGGCCTAGTTGGAGTAGGTACAGCCTTGCTATAGGAAGTGTATCGCTAGAGGTGGGGTTTGAGGTTTCAAAAGCAGGTATCTGTTTCTCTCCGGATAGAAAAGTTTCAGCTATTGTTCCAGTGGCACACCTGTCTGCTTCCTGACATGATGGTCATGAACTCGACTACCCTCAGGAATCATAAGACCCAAATTAAATGCTTTCTTTTATAAGCGTTTCCTTGGTCATGGTGTCTCTTCACGCCAATAGAAGCCTCAGACGATAGTAGGCTAGGCTGACTGACCAGCAAGTCCCAGAGTTCCGTCTGTCTTCACCTCTCAAGTCCTGGGGTTAAAAAGCATGGGTCACACCACCTGGCTTTTCTTTAACATAGGTTTTGGAAATCAAACTCATGCCATTATGTTTTCAGGGTGAGCATTTCCCACCTGGGCCATCCATCTTCTCATCCTTTACTCGGCATCCCTAAAGAGTGCATTCGATTTATAAAACTTGAGAATTCTCAGCTATTTCATAAGTGGCTAAAAAAACTACCAAAGCATAAGCAAGCATACTGACACAAACTTTATTTCATGTTCCCCAACTATTATGCTCTAAAAATACCAATTTTTTGGTATTTTTACCAGACACGATTTTGATGGTCATGTAAGCGTGTTTTGTAGACACTGAGGTGTAATAGTGTTCATTACTGTTTGGTTTTTATTCTAAAGGAATCGTGTGGTGTGTGGGGGTGCAATAATGCAATGCACATATGCAATGGAAATGTGTCATCTTTGGGAAGTGAGAAATTAAAGGCCAAGAATTAAACTACCCTTGATCTACAGTGAATGTTTAGAGAGTAAACAATATAGTCAGTCAGCTCAGGGCAGAAATGTCACCGGGGCAGCTTATGTGACAGGTGTCTTTTGACAAACAAATAGCTTTCAGATATTTCAAATTAATGTTCTTGCCTAGTTCAGCCAAAAGGCAATGAGTCCAATTATTCAGGAGCCTGGAAAGGTGAAAGAGATGGAAACGACAGCCAAGGCTGCCACCCACAAGGTGAACACACATACACACACACACACACACACACACACACACACACACACACACACACACAAGACAGGACAGCCTGAGGCTAGTGAGAAACCCATGTGATCTGTAACTGAACTCAAACAACTCATATACTTTCCACAAAATAGTGTAGCGTGGCCACCCACAGGCCTGCTGTGAAAAGAATGATTTAAGAACCCTCTGTGTCCAAATACCATCATTATAAACAGTCTGATAATAGCAGCATTGTTATAAACACAACCAGACCCCAGAGCACAGTGTGCGTATAGGAAAGTCAGGGTGGGAAAGGATGTTGACATAGTGGGCATTTTAAATCAATTTGTTTTAGCATGTTATAAATGCCTGTTATTTATCACAGCCATAACTTTCTGGTCACACTTGCTAAGTATATCGGCTGACATCTTTGTGTTACATTTGGCCTATGGTAGTGGGCTGATGTCTCAGCACAAATGATCACTTGTGCCATTTTATGCCCTAAAAGAAAGGGCAGAAGGAATCACTGAAATTCTGGAAGTATCTCCAAGAGAACTTCCCAAAGGGTTGTCCACTAGATAGGTAGTCCCAGAGCTCAAACCTGCAGGGTTAAGTATACCTTTCCCACAGCACAACATCAGCTCTGTTTGCTCCACTGAGACTTGACTGTCTGTTTATCACAAAGAACCAAAAACAGGAGCTCTCTACACATCAGCATCTTATGCTGTTGAAATATAAGCTTTTTAACACTTGAATGTGCTCTGGCATTAGACATGCCCACAATATTTACAACTTTTGACTTGTAACTGAACATCTAGCAATTTGTTCACAGGAGATATTCTAAAGTGTGACAAAACCTGACACATAAGCACTCATTTTCGCTATTTCAAATTAAGGTGCTAAAATAAAAGCATCTAGCATCATTGATCAAAGGGAGAGGTCGTTAATAAACTGCACTAGAACTTCAAGACAAATGTTGTGTTGTGCTTACACTGAAATTATATTAAGGAGGAGGTTTCAGAAACGGGAAACGCTTACATGCCAATATTATATGAATGAGCCATAATGAGTACTTAAGGACACTGTGTGGTTTTGACTGTGTAAGCATGCACCTTAAGGAAACAGGGAAATACCAACAGTGACTGATTGTGGGATGGGGTAGTTCAAGAGACTTTAAGTTCTTATCAATGATCTAGTAACAGCAATTTTATTATAAAACAACCAAATCCCACAGGGCAGAAGTACACTGCTCAAGGCTATAATTTACAAGGCGAGTGGTGATACAGCAATTACTATGCAAAAACAATATGCAGAGCCACACTGAGCAGCAATTGTGTGGTACACTTCATCACCACAAGGGGGTGCCTCTTAGTGGCCGCTTTGAAGTTAGCAGCTGGGTACAGATCTTATGACAGTAAATGGCTTCTGTCCTCAAAGGCAAAGATAATGACTAGGCTAATGCTAGTCTATTCTGAAGGAAAGGAGAATATTTCCAAGAATGGAGCAAGTAAAATAGTTTAGAATTTGAAAGCTGACATCCAGGGATTATAATATCATTGTCCTCAGTGAAAAATAACCCGGGAGCTGGGTCAGGTCCAGGAACAGCAACCTGAACTTCTGATAATCCATTTAACACAACCCTCAGCTACACGGACACAACAGTCATGCTCTGTGAATGCAGCTCTGGGCAGTAGAGGCAGTTGCTTCTTGGGCATTGCCCAGGATTCAGGAGAATACAAGTGATGGAGGGCGGAGTAGGCTCTGGCAGCCCCCAGATCTGGCATAAAATGTGGACCACAACAAGCAACAATGGCAAGAAAAACACAGCCTTTTCATGTTTTCACATTCCAATTAAGAGGTTAACTCATGTTTTTATTTGACAATTAGAGGAATATACAATTATTTATTTATTACTAGATGCGAGGGAGGAATTGGCCATGAAGGATCACCAGGCTCTTCTGTGCAGTAAGAGCGACAATAAAGAGACTTTTAATATTTTGAACAGCAGTTTGGCACTCCTGGTTTTACACAAATCCCGTGCTTTGTCTGCATTTGGAGGTGTGACGTTACAGTGTGCGAGCAACTTTGAGTATGAAACAGCAGCACCATAGGGAACAGAATGCTCTTCCTCAGAGTGGAAGGGGATCCCCTTGCCCTGTGATACACAAATGCAAGTTTAAATCTGCATTATATCTGCCTGAGACTCATTCACACCCCAGAAGTCTATGATATTGTGCCACAAAGTAAAGACAAGCGAGTCTTCCTCCCTTCTAGGGAAGGTCTCTGCAGTACACGACCATAAGTTTCTTAATTTTCCCCAACAGCTATGCATGAGGCACGATCTGGGAAAACATCTGGAAGACTGATGGTCTGCCTTCTTCAGAGTTCTGCTCAGTGTTCTTGATACTGTTGCACACACTTCCCACAAGTCTGGCTCTCTGAATCTGAACAGCAGCAAAGTCTAAGGCTTAGGGTCTCCACCTTTCATTCCCACACAGCCAGGACCAGGACTGCTCCCTACAAAGAGTCAGTCTACAGACTCAAGGTAAGAATCTAACATGCAGAGGAGAAAAATCCTGTGACAGAAAAAAAAAAGTCCTACACTCAAGGAAGACAATGATATTGTATTAACCTATGATTCACTTTGCTTTGGATTAAGTCTCCCTGCCCCTCACCCACTTAGATTTCCTTTTACTTGATTCTCTTCCCCAACCTACTCCTTCCTCCCCACACACCTACCTCTGCCTTGCTTTTAACACTTAATACTTCCTCATTCCCATTACACTGGAAAATGTGCCCCCCTTATTTGGTGCACAAACGATATTGCAAGTAGAATGGCTTATCTGGGCAGAATTAACTAAAGAGACATGGAAAACGTCAGAAAATGAGAGACAAGAGCAGGGAGATGACACTTAAAAAATGCTGCAAGGGCTGTCATAGTACAGGAAGCACGAGAGCCGAGAAAACCCTAGCCAAGGTCTACAAAGGAAAATAGCAAAAATATCTTAAAATCTTACAGCATATAAAATTGTATAAAATATCCTACAAGCAAGGAAAAAACAAAAAGAAATGTAATTCTCTACAGTCTGTTTCTAGAATCCATCACTGGATGATATGTTCGGCTATAGAGGCTCACTGTAAAGCTACACGCATTAACATGGGATTGCTTTTAGACCAGCGTACATATCACATCTATACCTATTTGAAGAGAAGGGTAGTCGTAGACAAATCCGCATCCCTAGTGTAGAGTACACAAGAGGAGCAAAGGTAAGCAGAGGTGTGCTTCGTGAGCACCTGTTTAAAAGCCATTCCAGTCACAGGACTCCATAGTGAGCTTGCCGGTGAGTGCTCGCGTAGGCACAGACATCAGCTCCTGGGAAGTATGCATGTCTCAGAGGCAACGGCTGAGGCTGACCACTCCAGAAAAGATGGCCCATAGTGCCTCTGACTGTGGACTGTTACAGGCGACAATCACCCAGAAGGTAGAGGAATCCCCAGGAGTACTGGGCAAGTATGCCCCGAGCCAGCTGAAAGGTCCCACCATTCCCCCTGCTTCTGGCTCTGCAACGGCCACTTAGTTTGGGAACAAGTGTTTCAAGGAAGCCTGCCACTGCCGGTGTTAACCCGCTTTCACTTGAACAAACGTCAGGACTAATGATAATTCATCTCTAATATGTGTGCCGATATTTTAATTGAAAATGGGAAGGAGGGATGATATAAGAAGATAATTTAGACTTAATCCTTAAAGATGACCATGAACTTCTCAGTCCAGGTTCTCTGCTGCACGGCACCATTGCTCATGGTGAAAGCACGCTCTCATGGGAAACAGTTCTTGCTCATCCCTGACTACCTCCTGGAGATCACCTTTGCACACAAATGTCCAGTGAGAACCTCCCGTCTTCTTACCTCCCTAGACTCACAGCTATTAACAATGCAGCACAATCTGCAGGTGGCCCCAATTACATCTGGACTCCGGTGCCACCTCTGTGCCCACCGGTGCCTCTGCTTGGACAGAGCAGAAGGAGTCTTCTGGTTTCAGAGCAGCATCCATCGTTGCGTTCATGACTGGCTTCTCACTATGCTTACGTGCTCAGTGATAATGAGGCCTTTAATCACAGATTGCTATTGATGAATTACACATATAATTTTCCATTTGTTCAAGAATAAGGACCAACAGAACATCATTATTGAAACATTATGCTCTGTAACACTCGGCTTTGCTGCAGCTCGGCGCTGTGCCCACCATACTGGCAGAGCAGACTGTGCAGTGGTTTCTCATGATGCAGGGACAGTGTTTTCTATTGGCTCCAAAGAAGTCCAAGTTTCAGTCTGGGTTCTAAGCAGAGTCATGGGTGCTTCAGGTAGCTCTGCGCCATCATTCTTCTTGGCTCTTCATTCTCTGAAGAACTTCATCTCATTGATCTGATTTTTTTTTGTTCCTTCTCAAATTTAAAGGTCACAGAAACTATTTTCCATCTATTTTTGTGCACTTGTTGGCTTTAACAATTTCCCCAAATAGCCTGATGTTTTCCCTCTTTCATGATAAGCTATTGGTGTAATTAGAGTATGTCTGCCTTTACCCAGAATGCACGTCTCCTGAATATAGCCATGTGGATGGTGAAGATGTTGAATATGTGCTGAAGGAAGTTTGAACTTTGCATTGAAAGGGACAGTATGATCCCAACTGAAAGTTCTGCTCAGGCTTCCTGAGTGTTGACTGGGTGCCAGGCACTGTGATAGACCAGGACTGTAAGTCTTGCAGTGTTGGGGGCATCTCAAAGTTAGAAGGAAATGTCTGACTGGAAGAAAAGGTACTCCCCCAATCCTCTTTATTTGGAAAATTAGGCTACACTCAGACTTCCACTCCTGGAATCTTCTCTGTCTCATTATCAGAAAGGATTTTCTACCTTTTATCTATTGGTTTCATCACAATCAATGGGAGAACATTATAAAATGTTCCTCATTATCAAAACCTCTACTCAGACATTAACAAAAAACAGAAGAAAATACACATTATCCCTATATTCATCCAGCCACCTACCTACTCCATCTATCTGTCTAAGAACAGTGATCTATGAGATAAGAGAGAATTCTGGCTCCCAACTTGTATAGTGTAGAGCACAAGATAGTCTCCCTCTTCTCTCTGCTCTCTCTCTCTCTCTCTCTCTCTCTCTCTCTCTCTCTCTCTCTCCCTCACCCTCCCTTCCTCCCTCCCTCTGTCATTCCAAGATAACAGTGCCTTTTCCTTCTCATTTTTACACTTTCTAACGCCATGGCTGGAGGTGGAAATCCATCTGAGACTCTGCAAATGAGGCAAATCCCTAACACCAGGTTGTCGTTGTCTTTGGTGCTTAGCGTGACTTTAATGGTTAAGGGTATTAGTGTGTAGACTCCGGTCAGATGTTTTTCATAACTTTTAAAAACTTCAAGAACAAAATAGTCAGTGGAAGAAAGTCCATTGATGGTTTAGAAATGCATCTTATAATTGCTGCCATAAGCTATTAGGGCTCACAGACTAGAAAAAGCAGCTACAGATAAGAAATAAAATACTGAATTCTGTACGCATCAGTTACTCTGCCCTAAGATCAGCCCACAGAGACACAGCTTGGATAAAGGCTCGTTGGGTAATGTGAAGATGCAGCTCAAGAGCTGGCTCCAGCTATCATGTTGCATCCAGGAACGTGAAAGGCTCCTGGCTTGTCTAATGAGCATGAGGCCACTGCTGTGTCCCCAGTGTTGCATTGTAACTCCGGTGTGCAAGGCTGTGCTGTGTGCATGAGCCAGAGCCAGAAGAGTGACGAGGGCAGAGGGATAACGCTGGTGGAATGTTGATGCTAAGCTCAGAAGAAGCCATTTCAAGAAAAGTAAAACCCACAGAATGCATGCCACAACCTTGGAAATCGTGTTTCTTTCTGTGAATACTGACCTGGAATAATTATTCCAGTATGTTATCAGGTCTAAGATCAGTTCAGAGCACAGTAGCATGTCTCATATGTTTTTAACAAATGACTCTGTGTTTTATTCGATGTGTCTTAACACGAGAAATTAAAAAGTTTAGGACTACATTAGCCGAGCTTTTGTACCTCCTCAGTGTTCTAAGCAAATTGTAAAGGCATAAAATTCTCCTCCCATTCATTTTCAACTGATTAATGACTAACAGCAAATTTAAAACATTTCTATCTTCATTGGTTCTAGAAAAAATGGCTATATTCCTATTTCTTTTTCATATATTGTGCAGTGTTGTTTTCTAGATTATAAAATGAAGCAGTAGGCATTCTATATCAACTACCCAAATGCTTCACATATAAAAATACAGAGTAGATGTGAGGTAAAAGGCCAATGTCCAAGGACATAAACTGGCATGTACTTGATTGCATTTAACTGACATACAGAATCACTCTACCTCCAAGAAGACAGTTTGCAAGCCGATGACCCCTGAACAGCAAACAGCTCATAAGCACATTTTGTTTAACTGGTGCAGTGTAAGCATCTGAGTTAGATGCTAGTGTGTGAAACCTTTTTACAAATCCTGGGTACCTCCAGAGTACAAATATAGCCCATGATACTGGACCGCTGCCTTCTTACAACAGTCCTCACCTCCGCTTGTCCCAGCATCACCAATCTCTGGCCACCCTCAGTCATTCCCCATCCTTCTTGCTCTTCCTTACTGTCTCCCTGGTAGCAAAGCCCATCCAACTGGCCCGTATTACAATAATTAGATATGACATGGCTTGTTCTAGTCACACACATGACCCTTTATATTCCCTTAGATATGACATGGCTTATTCTAGTCACACACATGACCCTTTGTATTCCCAACTCATTTAAATCTGGGTTTCATGATTTACTGTTAGGAAAGTAGGCAGAACAATGGAAAAGGGTCAGTGCTATGATGAGGCCAAATGTACAACCAACAGAGAAAAGTTGTGTGAACCTCAGGTACTGTGTTCCAGACAACAACTTTTTTCATATGTTCCTGCCGAAGTCCTTTTCTATGAGTCAAGCGGTCTTAAAGTCTATGAACCTCTTGGTCTTAAGCCTAGAGGACCACACACCTTCTTCTTTAACTGATGAAGAAATATCAATAACTTAAAAATCTGTCTTTATACTTTAATTTAGAAATGAAATTTATGGAATTCATTTAAACCATTACCTAGCTTGCTTTCTTCCTATCATTAATTCTATGTGACATGCTTTACTTTTGGAAGGGACTTAAAACTACATAATAAAAAAACATTCATATCCAAACCACACCATGGGAAAGAAAAATCAGATTTCCCTTGTCCTCTACTGAATCCCATTTCCTGCTTGGCTTCAGGATAATCTATTTTTATCCCCTTTCCCTGCCATATCTATTATCCTTAGTTTCTATTTTTGCTATTAATCAACTCCTTCGTGGTTTTATAATTCCACTAAGATGAAAACTATTACCTGACATAACTCTCTGATTCTGGGTCCCTTAACACTTCCCTTTCTAAACAGTTTATAAAGTAATCAAGTCAACTCACAGACACTCAAAAGAAGAGGACCAGGAAGTGGTCAATATTTCAGTGACCTCTTAATAATGGATGCTGCCCAGTGAAAAAACTGGGAAACCCATTGATATATGGTCATCAACGAACACATTGAGGTTTATATTCATGAATTTACAGATAATAAATTAAGCATCAAATACATATTCCTGTAGGATAATCTCGCTTAAGAGACAAGCAAGTTCATATTATACAAATGAAAAAAAAAACGTAAGAACAAAATTTAAGCATTAAAAGATAAACTGGAGGAAATGAGTATTCTCAGCTGGAAAAAAGAACCAGAGATTGGCCTTTCACTTCAACTGTGATGAAGGTCAGCCTGACTATCAAGGCCATCATGAGCCAGTATGAAAGGCAACATCTAAGTCAACAGGACTAACAAAAACAAAATGGCGGTCACTCTGCGGGGTACTTTTCCAGGCCTCACTCAGCACATCCAGGAGGTCAGGTTTTCTCTCCAGGCTCATCAGGTGCTGTTAAAGCCAAATTAATAATAGTAGGTTGTAAAATGGCCTTTCATGTTTGATTTCTGCTTCAAGGGTGGGACAAAAACAAAATGAAAACAAAGCAGAACAAGCCTCATGTGGGGTTTGTGTGCTCAGGTGAAAAAAAAATTCCCCCATAATTCTAAGACCACAAGTCAACCCCAGAGGCCCCTGGGAGGAGACAGCATGAGAGAAGGCCAAATGTGGAGCTTGGGTTTGAAAGCTGTACACCTTCCCCAGATAGGGGTCTTTGTGGAAGAAGGAGAGTGAAGAAGCTCAGCTAAAATGGCGCGAGACACTGGCAGCCTCAGTCTATGTGAGGTCTTTTCTACTCTTCTGGATCTGAAAGAAAGAAAAAGAAAAAGAAAGGTGTCAATGCTGCCTTCCCTCCCCTCCACCTTCAGGCCTCCGGAGAAAAAAGCTGGGGGCAAAAGGTCAAGGAGATCAACGGAACACTTCAGACTGGTTGCAGCAGGCAGAAAACCAGTTGGGAGATAGGAGAACTCTCCCCAAAACAAGACTCACTCTATACCCAAGGACAACCTCAGCGGAAAACCTTAAACCCCAACACACATACAAATGCAAGGGCTCTTTAAACTGGGCCTGTGTATTTTAGTGGTCAGTGGGATCAGAAGAAATTGGATCACTCTAATGTTGTTTCCATGCAAAGAAAAACTTTCTTAGCATGTTTGTCCCATTTACGGAAGCTTCCTAAAGACATTGCAAACAAGCCATTGCATTCTCCAGCCAAAAACACCATGCAGATGGATCCAGAGTAAGAGCAGAGGAAGAAAACAAAGGGGGAAACAGTATTAAATCATTGGAAATAGACAATATTGGGACTTCTTCCCCCACCTGGTGAACTCTATCTCATGTTACCTCATGGGTCCTGGAGGGAATTTAAAACAGTAACACCCCTGCAAGACTGGCTGGCACTGGTCCATTCATCAAGTCAGTGGTCCTTCCCTGTGTAGAATGTTCCCTTCTGGAATATGGCAGTGCAGGGTTCTAGTCTTCAGGACAGAAGGTTTCTGGGGCATCTCAGGACAAGGAAAGTCTCCCCTTCAGCTTTCAAGATCTTCTTCTAAATAAGACTTAGCCGAAATGAGGCACGAAACTAGTTAGGAGCTAGGAGAGCCCCTTTTGGTCTGTTGTAATTACAGCCAATTCTCGGCTTTCCAGGGACCATTGATCCAGACCTCCTGCTGCTCCCCTCCATTTGGGGCTTGCTACATTTACCCCCCCCCCTTAGCAACTGCACCCATTAGGGAGAAATTAAAAAAGAACGAAAACCTAGGACCAGTCTCTCTTCTCTGTCAGTAGCACTGAAGACACGGCAGAAAGGAAAGTACACAGGACAAAAGCTAACACTGAGGATTAGAATTTTTCTAAAACCCATACGGTTTGGTCCCCAAGGGAATTGTAAGCTGGATCTCTCAGTGCTCAGGCCCTGTCATTATCAGCTCATCACTAGACTCCTGGGAGATGGTCATCATGGCAATCATCACATTCCCGTACACCCCTGGGTGCTCTCCTGCAAAACCCGGTTTTGTTACAATGGATAGCATTTGATTGAGTTCGATGTTTTTTTGTCTTGTTTTGTTTAAATAAGATGCATTGGTTGTAAGGAAACTGAGAACAGTTTGCTCAAAAGCACCATTATTAAGCCTGGTGAGCCATCAAGGAGTGTGACAGCTGCCTGTTGTCCCAGTTAGCCATTGTCAGGTTCTCAGGGCCTGCTGTCCAGACTTGATCCAGAGACAGAACTCAGGGTCTTAGAGGAATTCAAAGGCTACCAGGAGATCTTCCCATCTTTCTAAACATAGCTTGAGTGAGAGACAGAGGAATGAATGTTCCTTCAGGCTTTGGACCTCTAACACCCTCTACTTTTTGGCCCACATACAGTAAAGAAATTTGTATGTTGAAGCTGTGTGTGAGTTCATCACCATTATCTGAGATCAATAGCAAAAGACCCCTTTTGCTATTGTCTGTAAAAGGTTACAGACCCCTGGCCATCATCCCAGCCTCCACTGGCTTTGCTTGCTTAGGGTAACTTCTGCTTATGTTGCTTTACACTAAGATGTCCACTTCTATGGCTGCTCAGAGCGGATGATGTTGCCTGACAAACTTGATTCTTTGAGAGGAGGAAAAGTGTCTGTCTATACTTTAAAATTTTCTTGAGTGTGGAGCAATGCTCGACACAAAGCGCATACTCGGTAAGTAACTTCTTTGTTGAAAGGAAGTGAGCTCAATAAGTGGAAGGTGGATTACATGGAAAAGGTGGAATAATTAAACACTATTTCTGCCCACCCTTTTGTCCTTTGCTGCATGATATACAAAACATGATGTTGCATGGCAAAATTTGATATTCCCTATATAGAAGTCTCATACAGTTGGCTATCTATGCAACTAATTTCTGGAGAAAGGACAGCTGCCACACAAGTCCTTGCCCTGACTTGTCAATCACCCCTGAGCCTCTCCTCACTCTGCTTCCTGTGTGTGTTCATGTATTTCAGATTTGCACATGTGTTTTCAGGCTAAACGGAAATTGAGCAAACATGTCAGCCAGAGCATCGAAGGCGTGAGAAGAAAGACCCTGAAGACGGACTATCAGAGAGGCTGGCGGAGAACACTGTCTTCACAAGCATTGCTTTAAATCCAGGGTCGACACTGAAGGCCACAAAGATGTTGTTAAATTCACTTGCTTTAAAAGCACTAATTCCTGAACTAAAATGGAAACTAGGCCCGTCTTGGGATGATTAGAGAAAACATGTAGGCAAGCATTCCCTATCTGCTCCTTAATCTAAGGTTTCTTACATCTGAGGAAGGGGAGCCTGGTTAGCTTTGGATCCTGAAGCACAAGCAAGTCGCATAAGAATCCACATAAAGTGTATTTGTTTCATGCCAGTAGATAATGATATCTCAACAACTTCATCTACAGAAGTTGGAGATAGATTTAAAACAGAGCAGCCTTGCTTATTCTGTTTTTCCTATACTGTTTTTCAGGCATGGGGTGTTCAATGTGGCTCTTACAACCATTTAGATTAAAGATCGTACTTTTAAGAAATGGTAAAAGTTCAAGTGAGTGTGACATAGCTTGTAAAATGTGTTTAACATTCACGTTGTTCAGGGTATCAGCAGAGCCTCAAGCACACAGATGTCATAAGAATCTGACCCTGGCCTTGAACAAAACACTCTAAGCATACCTCACTGCAAACATTTCTTGTCCATTTTTCTTAGATTTGGATTTTTTTCATGGCCCGATTCAGCTACGTCTCAGATTCCAAGAAGCAAACTGACTTGGCTGAGGACAGATCAGTGCCCAAGTGCACATATTCAAAAGGAAAAATATCATGGCTGCCCCCATATGGAATCAACAAAAATGTCACAGCCATATAGCAAGTGATTCGGAGATCTGCAAAATGTTACATAGGAAAAAAAATGGAAAAGGTAAACTGTAAAACAAAACCTACTTTTAATTTTCAAATAAAAATTTTCTGGGATATGAATAGCATTTATTTTGTATTTTAGTAGTAAGAAAATTATTATTTTAGAACTATTTATTAGATTCTATCCAGGTGTAGATTTCTAATCTCAGACTGTGGCAGCTGCTTTAAAGGGTTATTTTCAATGGGTACATTTTCTCTTAAACCCCAATTAAATCTAAGATTGTAGAAGAATTGTTCTAAGTTAATTCAACTGCATCTACTATCAGTGTCACATGTCTATTCAAACAAAATGCCCTGATAATGTACCCTAGCAGAGCTAGCCAGACAAGTGGATGGATGGATCAACAGAAAAAGATACAGATGAATATATGACAGGCTAATGAGGGACTCTAACTCATGAAAGACTGACCTATGCCATTGTCCTGTAGGATGCCCCCATCTGACCCCAAACACAATAAGATGCTATAGTCTATAGGTTCTTGGGGAGCATGCATGCCCTCACTCTGTCTTTCTTCTTAATCTATGTCACACCCCTGTAAATAATGGTGGTGTTAAGCTTTCCTTTCCTTTTGCTGTGCCCACACCTTCTTTGTGTAGCATGTTCTTTCTGCTAGGATTCAATGTGTCTTTCTGCTTTCACTCTCTGCTTTAAGTAAAATGCCCCCTTCCCAAATGCCAACACTCCAGCTACCCCTGCCAGACCAGTAAGTCCTGCAGTGGCCAGCATACATCCTGGTGTGGGTAAGGCACAGTCTCTGCATGAGACAGTTTGTTCAGTCTTTGGATTTGAGAAGCCAAGAAGGAACTAGAACCACAAACACTAAGAAAGTCCTTCTAAACAAGTCTGTGAGGCACAGAACCCTGCCTGAAACAGCCTGACTGCCTTCTATGCTTTCCTCCGATTTATTAGTTCAGGAAATCACAGGATGCTTCAGCACAGATAGAGGAAAAAGAGAATGAATCTGTGCTTTCCCGATGGTTCCAAAGTACAGAATAAAAATATCAGGTATGGTAGCAATCAGTGTTTGGAAACACATGCTTTCACTGGGCAGTCAGGGACTCCCTTCCTATGAGAACTCTAAGCTAATGGCCAGGATTGGTTATCTGACACACGTCTTGAGAATGTAGATATCTAGCCAAGACATAGAATTAAAAATGCAGACAGCCTTGGGTCAGTATATGCTATTGTCAAAAGAAGCCGTTTTTTTCTAAAGGATTTAATCATATCAGTAGAGCTTCTCTGGGAAGATACACTGTGACTTTTGTTTCTTTAATTATTTATACAGAATCTCACAAAATGTACTTTTTCTCTAGAGGAGAATCAAATAAATATGCAATCTGTTATTACTATTTTATTTATACATGTTCTGGACACCAATATTAGTTTCAAAAAGAAAGAAAAAAAATCACCTTTCCTGTCAAAATTTTATCCATCCACTACTGCCACTGACATCTACAGAGCCAGAAGCTCAGATCCAAATCTTTGGAACCCTCTTTGTTCACCAGCCACCTTTGCCTGGGGAGTTCCTTCTTCTATCACCCATCCTTCAATCCACTTGTTCCCTTTTCCCTGTCCACAGGCCTACCTCCAGATCCATGTTGTTTGAATCTGCTTTGTTTGCAAGACATCTTTGACTCTTGAAACATTCCTTTCCTCTCCAGTCCTTTCCTCTACCCGATGCCATCTCTACACACATATGCCACACTCTAGTCCCGTGCTTCAGGAGGTGCTTTGCCTGGTCTGGGTGAACAGCTTATCCACCAACCTTACCTGGCTTAGCTACAAACACACAACTTCTGCATTAGCCCAATCTAAGGCACGATAAATTTTCACTCAGACATTCAACCAAAGAAAGATGACCACAAGCCCAAGTCAAATCATAAAAAAAACCC